TTAAGATATAAATTTAAATATTTCATATCTGTCAGGGATTCAAGCTAATGTAATGATACATACCAGGCTATATCTTTAGATTCAGTTCAAAATGATATCTGTTTCTCGTTTATAACTTTTTAAAATGTGAAAATAAGGAATTTATTACTTACTGGTTTATTTTATTTAATAAGTACTTTCTAATATTTAAATAGTATTTTCCAGTATAGATTTTACTGGGTCATGTATTAGTTTGCCCCTTTCTAAATTACAAAGTTTAATTTATAGTACAGTCTAGCCACCCTAAATCCTTTTTGAAACAAGGAGGTGTGAAAGTTAGTAAATAAATTGTCAATCCTGACCATTTACAGTAAATATTTCTGTTTCCAGTCCCCTTATAATCTTTAGGCTAATTCCAAGTAAGAAATAACAAAACCTAAATGATGAGAATTATAAAAATCAATTAGTGCCAGATGACCAAAATTCAGTCGAAGTTCAGGTTGGTCAAAATATTTATTCTTTTAGTGTTCTTAGTTCCTTGGTTGGTTGGGTGGGTGGTTGGTTGGTTTCAGCAGTTTCTTATTAACCTTCCTTGTTCTAATTATTATTTTAATCTGTTATAGTTGGTGATGGAATATTGCTTAGGCTCAGCCTCTGATTTGTTAGAAGGTAAGAATGAAAGCACTATACTCTCCTTTCTGTTTTACTTTGATCAGAATGTTATCTACTGCTATATTAAAGTGTAGTTTGGGCAACCTAAGTGGATGATGGCTTGGACTTACAGGTTGTGTGGACAAGGTATGCAAACTTCGTCTCTGCAGTGTCACTGAAAGTGTCTGAGTGATGTTAGCAGCCTTCCCACTGTTTTAGTTGATGGCCAATCCAGGGCAGGTACTGCTAAAATGTTTGGCTAATGTGGTGTGGTATGTGTGGCCAAAAACATCAAATTCATGAGCATGTATGAAAGAGAGGCATATAGTATCAAATCATATTAGAATTTAACCCTTTCAAATATCTTGACTGACCCACTTCTCTGCAAATGCTGTTATAACCAGAGGCTGTGTTAAAAATTTACATTAAAAAATATCTTACATCATCCTTGATCTCTGAATAGAAATTGCTCATTAGCTGCTTTCACAAATAATGAAAACGTGTAGTTAGAAGGGGTAATTAAAGATGGCTTTGTGGCAGAGAAGAAGAATATAACCTAGAACACTCCAGGCATTTAAAATGTTAGAAGGGACTGATAAACTTGGGCCTGGTCAATTCAAATTCATGGGGCTTTGACTTGCAACTGATAAGCAAATTAACAATGCATCATTAAATGAATATCGGTATTCTTTGTCTTATTTTGTTTTGAAGGGTCATTTTGTTTATTTTTATCCATTTGGGTTTCCTGTTATCTAATCATTTATTGTTATTCTATAGAAAATACATATCCTGTGTATTTAGGTGAATGTGTTCCCAAATTGTCATTTGAGAAAGTATATAATTCACTCTGGTATAGCTGTATAAAATAATAAAAAGAGTAATGAAACTGATCATCTACGCCTGACTTTTTTTTTTTTTTCCTTCCTCAGTTCATAAGAAACCACTTCAGGAAGTAGAGATTGCTGCCATTACTCACGGTGCCTTGCATGGACTAGCCTACCTACATTCTCATGCATTGATTCATAGGTAAGATTAGAGACCAGTTACGTTTTCATTTCAGTTACAGGACTATCTATTTCAGGAACCTTGAAAATTAGTGCACGCTCCAATTTTTAGGGTGCCTAAGGATTTATGGGAAGCAAATAGATTGCTGCTGCTTCTTGATTTAAGGAGTAAAGTTGCCAGAATTTAGCTTCTATCTTTTAGTCTCTCCCATATATCCACAAAGACTTACCTCATCTCTGTTCTGTAGGTAACTATTTTCCAGGCTGGGTATTGCAGGAAAATTTGAAAAAGGCCCCAGCAACCTTTTGATACTATGTCACAAAGAAAAGAAAATTAACCTTTCTTGCATATATCTATTTCTTAGCCAAGTTCTTCTTCCTTTCCTATTGCAAATACCCAGTTAGTCACATATAATAAATATATGCTGTTTTATCACTTAAAATGTTTTGCATTTCTGTAGTCCATAGAGATAGTTAGGAAGGTACTGTCTTTACTATATTTTGGCAGATGAAGAGACCAGGGCTTAGAAAGATTTAAATAAGTTACCCATCGTTTCATAGCATTTGAGTAATAGAGTAAGGATTGAATCTCAAATTTCCTGACTCCCAATCCAGCGTGTTTTTCTACCACACCAACACTCTCCTCTCTGCACCCTGTCTCCCTCCACAAACTTCTCCTAAAGAAATACTGTTACTACCAATCTTTGCTTTTCTCAGTAAAGAAATTGTAGTACAGTTACTTTAATGAATGGTGGGACGAATAGTGGAATATTAGGTAGATATGAAGAATCTGAAATGGCTTGCAAACAAAAGAAAACACTTGTCATTTCCTAGGAAGAAGTGAAACTATTAGGTCACAGGTTCCCCTTTTACTCCTGTTTTAATCATCCCAGAGTGGCCGTCACCAGTTACTAGTACTATAAAAGCAGAACTTCCTCAAGATATGCAGACCAAAATCCTGCCAGGAATTTGGCTTATTTATAAGGATGAAGAATGAACCTAATCATATCTAATAAATACTGACTAAATTTAGCATAACGTCTATAGATTTAGCAACTTTTTTTAAACATACCCTTTGGTACCAAGGTGTTATTACTGAATGCCAACTTGCTTATGATGATGTTGCCTGCTCTTATTAAAGCCCCACAGTTCAGTGGTTTTTTTTGCCTTTAGTACCTTAATCTGTGCATTAACTTAATGTTTTAGTCTGTATTATGCTTTATCTTCTTTAGTGTGTAAAAGAAGTTGAAAAGACCAAAAAAAAAAAAAACTTTTAAAGAATGTTCTCTAAATATAAAAATAATACCATGTCTCAGATTTTTATTATTTTGATTTAAAAGGCAGTTCTCTCTTTTAACTGAAGATAATAGAAAAAAGATATTTTTCTGTTTTGAAGAGAAATAAATAATGCTTTTTTTTCTTTAGTTCTCTCTGCCAATGCCTAATGTCATCATGAGGAAGGAAACTGAATTTTCAAGGGAAGTTTTTGTAAAAGTTGTTTTGGGAGCGTTCGAACCTTTTCATTTTCATCTTGACATAAGTTTCCCTCATCCTCTCTGCCTTATCTTCTCACTGCCCATCAACTTCCAGCTCTTGGTTTCTAGTACTCATTACACCTCATGTCTTTTTTTTAAAAAAAGAATAAGGAGTACATCCATATCTCCTCATTCTAAATTATCATACTGAAGAATGAATTTTTTAAATCATATTTTTTAAAACTTTTGCTGCATAAAGCATCCAATAGCTTTAGTAGTAACCACTTGAGATTCTTTGTAGTAATGACAACAGAAATGCAATTTCCTAACCCCTAATCCTTGTTTGTTTTGATCTTTCAGGGTCTTCTTTTTACTGTACAGTGTTATTTTTAAAATAACACCTTCTATATAACATGTACCCTCAAATGCCTTAGAGTTGCAGTTACAAATAAAGGCAGAGAGAAAGGGTCACAGGCAAGAAAGAAAAGGTATGTGCGTAGTTGAGGTTTATTGGTAGGTAGTCAATACAGAGTTGTTACAGGTTTGTTTAGGCTCCAAAAATGTCACATAATTTGGGGGGAAAAAAAGGCAGTTACAAATGGCTCCAATTTTTCCAGCACAAGGAATACTGTTGATGACTGGATTTAGCATTTAAGAATATGCTTTTGTAAGTATAGCAGCTGAATACGTTTCCTTGTCTGCAATGTCTGCCTTTTTTCTCACTGTATTCCCTCCCTCTGAAGAAAGTTCTACCTTTAAGTAATTACTATGACCTACCTGTAAGTACACCCAGGAATCTGGGTCCCCTTACAACATACAGTAATTACTAAATCCCCTTCTGGCTATCTGAGCAAGGTTTATTTTTGTTGTTGTTTTTTTTTTTTTTTAATAAACTTTTTGTCTTATTAATTGCATGCTCTGACCTATTCCATAATCAAAATTGAAAAGTCATTTTCTAACCCTCTTATTTTTTTCCTATAGGGATATTAAAGCAGGAAATATTCTTCTAACAGAGCCAGGTCAGGTGAAACTAGCTGATTTTGGATCTGCCTCAATGGCTTCACCTGCCAACTCCTTCGTGGGCACACCTTACTGGTATGTAGAATTAGACAGCATGACATAGTATTAAAATATTCTTACACGAACAAGATGGACCCATGGCATTGGTTTTATTTTGTTTTTTTACAATGTCTTGCCAATGTGCCTCAAAATGAGATTTCATTTGAGAAGGATAGAAAACTCACTAGCATAAAAAGAAACACTCTTAGTGTAAAATTTACAATGACTTTAAATTGTTCAAATAGGGCTGGTGTCACTGTGTGTAAACTGAGCAGGATTATCAACTCACTGACCAACCTCAGGTTTTAGATTTCATTTGTGGTTTCTTTTGAACTTTTCTCTTGAGGCAGAGTCTCCAGGGAAGGACAGGGCAGCTTCTTTAGCCTTCTCTGATGAGCCAACAAACATAAATCTTACCTTTTAGTGAAAGAAATCCAAGTTCTTGCCTGTGTTGAGTTCTCTGATACATCACCTAGCCTGACATTCTGACTGAGTTTTTTTTACCCTATTCTGTTCCAGATTCCTTTCCTTCCTTTCATAGATACATTGGAGTTTCATTATACCTTAGAGAATGACTTATGTCCCTGGAAAATTACTTGCCTACTAAAAAAATAGCTGCTATTTGAATTTTTTCCCATCATCATCAAATAGCTTTTACTAAGCAACTGCTTACACACAGTAACAGAGCACAGTTCTGTTCAAAGCATATTAAACTGATATGACCTCTGCCCTCCTAATGCAGATGCATTACAGACAAACAAGTAAAGTAACATCCATTACCATCACCTGTGTTTTGTTTTTGTAAATTTTACTATCTTTGAAACACTGATTATATTGCTTTATATCATCCCATGAAGTGTTTTTTATGGTCCAGGTGCAGTGGTTCACGCCTGTAATCCTAGCACTCTGGGAGGCCAAGGTGGAAGTATTACTTGAGCTCAGGAGTTCGAGACTAGCTTGACCAAGAGTGAGACCCCATCTCTACCAAAAGAAAGGAGAAAAAAAAAAAAAAACGCACACCTGTAGTCCCAGCTACCCAGGAGGCTGAGGCAGAAGGATCACTTTGAGCCCTAGTTGGAGGTTGCAGTGAGCTACAGTGATGCCACCGTACCCTACCCAGGGTGACAGAGGGAGACTTTGTCTCAACAAAAACAAACAAGGCAACTGAACACCCCTCCTCACAAATCCGCACCCCTTCATATAAAAAAGTATATTAAAAAATTATTTTAAAAAAGTGTTTTTTATGTTTAAAGTAATTTATTTATTTCATGTATAGTAATCCTTTACAAATCTCTATGAGGTAGCTATTAGAATTCTCTCGATTTTATTGATAAAGAAACTGATAAACAGATAGGTTAAGTAACTTACCCAAGATCGACCTGATAATAAGGGGTAGAGCCAGGATTTATTGAAAATAATGTATTGCTTTATATAAACCAAGTATATTTATATTTTGGATACTATTTTTCAAAATGATTTGTGTAAGGAAAAAATATCAGGTAAAAATTTTAGAGTACCCTTAATAGTTATTTCATTGAATCACTTTATTAGTGGAATTTCGTTTTTAATTTGCAGCTTAAGTTTTGTACATTATGTTTGATAGGATGGCTCCAGAGGTGATCTTAGCTATGGATGAAGGACAGTATGATGGGAAAGTTGATATTTGGTCACTTGGGATCACCTGTATTGAATTGGGTGAGTAAAGACTTATTTGTTTTCATTGTATTTTGGGGAATCACTCCTTATTTTGATTGTCAATTAACTCATCCAGCTATTTAATGAATTACTGCTTTTTGTGTGCCAGGTAATATGAATTTATTATATTTTCTATACTCTTGTATAACACAGAAGATTGCTTTCTCTCTGCTACATTTTCATGTTATTTAATTAAAGGAGTTTAGGCAGATACAGCATTTGACAAACCTGGAAATACAAGACAGTAAGTACTAATATTTGAAAAATATCCATTCTCCATACCATGAATAATAATATACATCCCACCTTTATATTTTCCATTACCTTAATTTATATTCCAATTTATATTAGAGAAATCCAAAAAAGTACTAGAAGGCTTATCAAAGATCTTACCCTAAAACTGTATTTGACCCACATAGAGTGCAACTTCAGAGAAAATTTCATGTTAGAAGATGCCCCAGCTATCAAGTTGTTCCCCAAATATTGCGGCAGTTATCTAAAGTTGTCTAAAATACCACAAGTCTCTCTTCTCTCGTTGTATATTTTGAACTTTAATATATCTTAAAGCTGTCTCTATCCAGTGAGGTACTGGTAAACATAATAAATGAATCTTTTGTGGAGAGAGAAAAAGCCCTGATTTGTGGCATTTGCCAATTTTTGTGGTGTAAATATTCCCACTATAGCCAATTTCAAGCTTCCAGTGCTATTGACTAAATGTGGAATTGGGAAAAGGTGTGCACAGTGGGCCTTCCAAAGCCAGTATGAGCTGGCTCCGGTGTACCACTGCCATTATCTAGATATTTGTATAAATTTAAAATCAAAATGTTAAACTTTTTTAAAATCGGTTTTAAAAAAATTCTTTGACCTTGTTTTTTCAGTTTAGAATGTAATTTCATTTGATTAATTCTATCCTGGTTTCCAAATTGATCCTGTGAGAACTTGAGTTCCAGTTTGATTCTCAGACTATGGTTTTCTCTTTCCCTAAAATGTATGGCCTACAAAGACAACTTGAGAAAACTTCGCATTACATTTACGATGTTTCATTGATCCTTTTCAAAAAAGCAACATATGGTAAAGATGCACCATGTATCTTTTTTTTTTTTTTTACATTAAAGAGAAATTAATTTTAAGAAACAGAATTTGGGTAGGAAAATCAGAATATTTATTTTTTTCAATTAGGGTAACAGATTCACATGGTTTGTAAATCAAAAAATCAAAAAATAAATAGTGAAAGGTCTTCTTCCACCACCAGTAAAAAGTAAAACTTTAAAACATTTAGGAGAAGCCCCCCCGCAATGCCTCAGTTTCTTATCTGTAAAACAGAGATAATAGCTGTTGCACTTCATGGGGTTGCTATGAAGATTAATGATAAAGCACTTAAAACATGGCCTGGCATATAATAAGCACTATGTAAGTGTTATTACTCTAGAATACCTTTACAAGTATAAGGAAGAATTTTTCTAATCAATATTTTAAAAGCATACTGACAAATATGATAACTTTTACTACTTTATAAAGCCATGTAAAACAAACATTAGAACCATGGACTAGGAGAAGGTGGTTGAAACATATCTAACCAACAGGGTATCAGTCCAGAATTTATAAAGAACTCTTACAATTTCTTTATCAAAAAGAAAAAGCCAAACAGCCAGTAGAAAAATGGGTAAAAAATGTGATTAAGCAATGCATTGAAGAGGAAACCTACATAGACAACAAACTTCAGAAGATACTTAGCCTCATTAGGGAAATGCAAGTTGAAACAATTTCACATCTATCGGATTGGCAACAGTTTTTAAGTCTCAGGATAATACATTTAGGGATGTATCTAAGGAAATGTAAGTCGATATAACAGCTTTGGAGTACAAATTGGCCAAATCTCGTAAAACTGGTAAGGAGCAGTGACCTGACACTTCTAAGGGTATACCTTAGAGAAATCTTTATGCACATACACTGGGAAGTGTGTACAAGGATGCAACCTTCTCTATAGTAGCCAAAAAAGGTGGAAACAATATGAATTCTTATCTAAAGGAGAATTGATAAATTATGGAACACTATATCACAGTTAAGAATGAGCTAGATCTACATGTATCGTCATAGGTAAATCTCAGAATCATAACATTGAGTATTTAATGAACAAAGGAAATTGCAAGAGTATAAGTACAGTATGATGCCAATTATGAAAGTTTTATAAACTCTTTTACATATTATTAAGAGCATATATATACTAATAAAGCATAAGAACGTAGATGCTAAAGATACAATTCCAGAATAGTAAGCTCTAGAGAAAGGAAGGGGGAAAGAGCTGTATCTACTTTCTTATTTTTTTTTTTTTAGAAGAAAAAAGACCTGAAACAAATAGGACAAAATAATGGTAATGCTAAGTGGTAGCGTCTACTATAATAGTCTACAAAGTTTTATCTATTCGAAATATTGAATAATTTAACTTTTTAAAAATTAAAAATAAATATACATTCCTTTGAAGGGGGACTACTCTGTGCATAGTATAAAGTTAGGAGTATAGAGTAAGTTTTAGAATTAGACGCCTTGGATATGAATCTTGGCTGTACCAACACTTAGCTGGCAGGACCACTGTGTATGGCTGCAACATAATGCCACCATGCATTTACATAGTCTAGGGTGTAAATGCTACCTCCTGGAGGTGTGTAACATGTTGATTCTGTCTATGTGATCTTGGACCATTTTCTTTCCTAATCCTCAGTTTTCTTGTCTAAGTGAAAATAACAAGGCATGTATCATAGATATTTTCAAGCTTTGATAAGATAACTTAGGTAAAGTATTTAACATAGTGCCTGTCACCTAGCAAATGCTCAGTAACAGCTAATTGTATTCATATATAGGATTATTTCTGATTTTCATAATTTATATTTTAAGAAATAAAAATGAACCAAAATTTTCCTTTTTTTTTTTTTGAGACAGAGTCTCACTGTGTTGCCTGGGCTAGAGTGCCGTGGCGTCATCCTAGCTCACAGCAACCTCAAACTCCTGGGCTCAAGCGATCCTTCTGCCTCAGCCTCCTGAGTAGCTGGGACTACAGGCATGCGCCACCATGCCCGGCTAATTTTTTCTATATATTTTTAGTTGTCCCATGAATTTCTTTCTATTTTTAATAGAGACGGGGTCTCACTCTTGATCAGGCCGGTCTCGAACTCCTGAGGTCAAACAATCCGCCCGCCTCGGCCTCCCAAAGTGCTAGGATTTCAGGCGTGAATCACCATGCCCGGCCCAAAATTTTCCTTTTAAGACCGAGATCATAACAGCAACTCCTTAGTTATGACACTTCAGAAGATACAGCACCTGAGTTGAATCTTACAGCTAGTTAATGCCCACCCATGGTTTTAACAAGTTTTTTCTTACCAAAATCCCTCTGAAATGTAACATGGGTTCTGCCCTTTCCAACCCTCTTCAGTGCAACAAACAACATATATCCTTTTATGATGATTCAGGATCATCATCACTTCAGCTTTTGCACTGTGTAGATGTAATGATGACAAGTTTCAAACAGCAATTGATATTGGGTGAAATAGTTACAGGTCCCAGGAGATATCTTAGTACTTCCTCTCTTGAAACAGCCCCTGGTATGTGCTTACTTTCTGGTTTTACTTATAAAAATGAATCGAAATATGTATAGCAAATGCTCTCTATATCAGCCTAACTTTGATTGCCTTTTATAAAATGACTACTGAATTAAAGGATAAGATATCCTTTCCCAAATTGTTGTTTTATCCTCCACAACACCTATTCCTTTAAATTGATAGATGGTAGTATCAAATTATGCTAAAGAGCATAGACTCTACAGTCAGATAAACTTGAATTCTAATTCCACTTCTGCCCTTTTGTAGTTGTATGATTTTGGTCAAGTTATTTTAACTCTGTGAAATTTGCATAACAAGATTCCCCACCTTATGGTGATTTGATTAAATTAAAATATGAATTTAAAGTGCTTACTTTTATATCTGGTACGTAGTATGTGCTCAACAAATGTTAGACATTATCAGCACAATCCTGAGATATATAGTATTTCATGCAAATTTTTATCTACATTTAACAACTCTTTAAAACTAGGAAACAACATATTAACTACAGTTAATAATAATGCATTGAATACTTGAAATTGCTAAGAGCAGAGCTTAAATGTTTTCACAACAAAAAGATAGTTATTTTATGAGGTGACGGATAAGTTAATTGTGGTAATCACTTCACAATGTATACAAAAATCAAAAACAGCACATTATACACCTTAAATATATACAATTTTTATTTATCTAAAAAAATCCAAGCAATTTCTTTGAAAAGTAGGACTTGTTTTTGTAGGCAACAGCATCTTATAATTGGCAGCATTTTTCTAAGTTATACATAAGATAGTTGGTACATATTAAATAGTGGCACATCTTATAGTCAGTGACATCTTAGATTCAAAGAAATATGATAGTTGCTTGGTAAATATTCACAAAATAAAATTGTTACCAAGGACATTTAACTTCTCAGCAATTACTTAAAAATTATTATATCAGTAGTGTAATAAACCATGCAAGTACCTCTTTGACAGCTTCACCACACGTCTCCATCTCCCCAGCATTAATTTGTTAATGGACAACTAAAAGAAGGATCTTTGGGGGCTTTTTTAAATATGAATAAAGGAAGGTTAAACTTTTCCTGATAAACTCTATGCAATCATTTTTCTGTTTCCCGTATGTTTGAGGTTTAATGAAATTCTGGGCACACACAATGTATTTTAAATTGTGCTTCTAATTTTGAAATTACATTGAAAGTTGTGGATAGTGCCCGAATGGCGTGTTTTCCCCTTTCAGTGTGATAGCTCTCTCTTCTATAATAGTGTCTATTTAGAAAAAAAAAAAACTAACGTTCTAATGTGTAAGTCGAATTGGTGAGATGACATCACAGAGCAGGACGATGATAATGTTCCTGGTACTGTCCTCTTTCCTAAAGATCAAACTCTGCAGTTCCTAAGTGGTTACGCCTGTTCTAGAAATTATCTTTTGCTAAATTGGTCTTCCATTGAAAGAAATATTTGAATCCTCTGAAACTCTTGGACATTGAAATGGTCCAGTCACCAGATATTTTTCAAGATCATTTCAAGAGAAATTAATCTCAATGTTCTTCTGTTTAAACTACAGACACTTAGTTCACTAGCAAAGATCATGGTAGAAGCTGGCAAGGGGCCCATCAGCATTGTCAGGGAATTGACTCTCTTCAGAAATAAATTCTCCAGGAAAAAAACAAAAATATAAATGTCATTATACAGTTTCTCTGCCTGGAATTTTCTTCCTCTACATTGGCCATTCATTGTTTATCTGTTAATAAATGAATGCTGTGATGGCTGTTTGGGAAAAGGAGTAATATTTAGTCTTCTGAAGCTGGTTTTTTTTTTTCATTTTGAAATACTAGTACTGTCTATCATAAAATGCACAGGATTATTAAAGAGGCCTATCAAAAAGAACACAGGCCTTGGAGTCTCATAGGGTTGGGTTGAAATCCCAATTTAGCCATTACTATGTGATTTGACTTCATTATTTAGCCAGGCTGAACCTCAGTTTCTTCAGCTGGGAAACTGGAAGAATAATATCTATCTTGCCAAGCTTTTGTGAGAATTATGAATAACATGTAACGTGCTTAAAGCAGTGAGTGCCTGGCATATAGTAGGAACTCAATAAATGGCAGCAGTTATTATTTTCATTAATTGTTATGGTTGTCAATCGTATTTGTTCAGAAAAAGCCTTATGACTTTTCAGGAAGTATTTATTTAAAGATAGGGGCACTCTTTGATTTTCCGTATTAGAGTCCAGCCCAGTAGGTGCTCTAATTTAGTATGATCCTTGCTCAGCATATAGCAGTGTCCAGAAACTTCATGAAACTGACCTTCCTGAACCTTGATCTTGTATGACACAGATGGATCATCCACAAAAAATTGATCATTATGTTTATGTTAAATAGAAACTATTGTTTTCTCTTTTAATGTAGTTAGCTCAGCATTTTAATGCTTCTACCTTTTTCCTTTTACTTAAGAAAATATGGATCCTATATCACAAGGTGACTTCAAAAGCACTCCCAGTTTCTATTCTGCTGTGTATGTAGAAGCTCCATGCAAACTATTATATTCTGCAATAAGAGTCGAGAAACTTTCTGTAAAGGACCAGATAATAAGTATCTAAGCCTTTGCAGGACATACAATGTCTGTCATAGCTACTTAATTTTGCTATTGGAACACGAAAGCAGCTACAGACAACACGTTAATGCTGCAGTGTGCCCTCCCTTCCCCGCCCCAGCTGCTTGCCAGGAACCAGGCTGCACAGCAGGAGGTAGGGGGGAGAAGCTAAGCCCCACCTGCACTGACAACCGCTCCCCATCACTTGCATCACACCCCCCATTTGGTGGGTATGCAAATACTATGCCATTTTATATAAGAGACTTGCTCATCTGTGGATTTTGGTATCTGTGGAGGGATTGACTGTGCTTGAAGCTGCCAGAAGGCCAAGCTCTAGAAACTTTTTAGAGTCTACCTCCTGAAAAATAAAATAAAAATAACTCCACACTAGATTTTTTTTCTTTTCTGCATTTGAAACAGATATAAATCCATTTGTCCACACAGCAGATTTCAGATTTCCACTTGTTAACAGTTCATGTCCCTATAGTATCAGAATCTGTTTGATGAGTGTAAAGTGTCCTATTGAGGGGTCAGTGGAAACTATTTGTAGAATTGTGGACTGCCAAATTCCACAGGTACAGATATCATTTAGTCAAGAAGTTCCTCCAAAGTAGCACAGATGAATAAGAATAGATGTCTTCTGTGTAAATGCTACAAATGACTTGGAGTTCACTACTTTTCAACATTTCCTGTTTTTTTGTTTCTCTTTTGTTTTTTTAACCACTCTAGCTTTTCACAGATTCTTCCTTCTGTGAGTGAACACGTCTTTCCTGTAACTTCTACCCTTAGTTCTTGTTCTATGTCTTAGACCTACATAGGATAAACCCAATTTGTCATCTTAGAAGTGGTTAATAGAAGACCATTTACTTAAAAACTAAGATGCTCCGGTGAAACTAGAGATCAGATTATGAATTAGAAAGTGGGGCTCCGTAAAAAATCCATTAGGGTAAGCATGGCAGAATGAGATGGTGATTTATCTTCTATGCCATAATAACTAATAAATAGCATAAAATTAACTGCACTCAGATCTAGAGCCTCGTTTCTTTCCTTCGATCCACAAGTGGAGCACCTAATATGTGAATAGCATTTTATTACAAATTCTGCGGGAATAAAGAAAAGAATAAGTATTAAGATTATAAGATCTTGCTCTCTTGGAACTTATGATGTCTTTTGAGAAAAAAGATTTGTATGTTTATGTAAATATAATAGGTGAGCACTAGCCAGATGAGCAAGGTACCAAGGGAAAGCTAGAGGAGTTCCAATAAAGAGATCGTGGTTGGCTGGGGTGGAGTAAATCCCCGATTAAGCCACACCTGACTCACTGAGCTTCTCTTTATAATGGGATTGACCAGGCTTCTTTATTATTTATCCTTCTCTTCCTACCTCCCATCTCCCTCTCTGCTCCCACCCCTAGCAGTTCTTTGACCTGGATGAGGCATCCAACAGTGTTTACTGAATAGAATTAGCTTATCTCCTATACTAAGTTAGTGATGTTTAAGATGTTCCATTTCATAGAACTCTTTCCTTTTCTTTATTCTACTTTTTTTTGCTTTTTGAAATTTAAAAATGAATATGTATTTTTTAATTAAAATATACATGCAAAGACATTCATACCTATCATAGTAAAATGGACAGAAGCCAATTTTTTGAACATATGGGAAAAAAATGTCTTATTTTTTGTTCCACTCTTTTGAAATGGGTTCTGTTAGGAGCTTTGCCAATGTACATTAAATGACCGGCAGCTTCTTCTGAATAGCTATCCTGGGCCAACCTTAGAGATTAACATAAGTGGATTATGTGGCATGATGACAGTAATGAGCTATTGATTTAGCGGCAAAGCTTTGCTTATAGTTTCTTATTTTTCTATCTGCCTGATTTCCTTCAAGAACTGCTTTGTCGTGTTTCTTTCCTCTTCCAGCGGAACGGAAGCCCCCCCTTTTCAACATGAATGCGATGAGTGCCTTATATCACATTGCCCAGAATGATTCTCCAACGCTACAGTCTAATGAATGGTAAGACTCTGCTATCATTTTAAATCTCTAAGAAAATCACCTTATGTATTTGGCAGTTTTATTAAATTACATTTTAAATATCTGACCTAGAAAGCATTTCATTCCTTCATTGTATATTATAATAAGTGACACCGATGCTTCACAGGCATCAACTGTCTATATGCGTGTACACACACACACACACACACACACACACACAAGTTTATTTATTTATGTCCTAACCATGGCTTGCACTGTGTTCTGTAATGCGCGTAGTAACTGAAATCCTACGGGGAACATGACCTGCTGCCTTCCTAACGAGTCTAGTCTCTCAAGTCATGATGGTCTTGTACTGATCATCTCAACTCTAATCACTTCTCAGCAGAGATAAAGGCCCTCTCTGATGTCATTATTTTTCCAGTTGTCATTTTTTAACTATATGTGTATTTAAATGTGTTGAGACACAACATATACTATCTATTCAGAAGATATATTGTTCCTTGCTGAAAATTATGACATTTTTGTAACTATCTGGGCCACAAAGAGTTATAAAGGGGAGGTGGGGACAGTTTAAAGAAGAGTGGACAAAATGGAATTTTCAAGATAGGAAGTATTTTTATTCAGAAAGCCTCTTGCTAGGTTCTCTATCCCTTATGCTTCAAATTTTACTACCTTGTTGTAGGTTGTGGATGGTAGAGGAATTAACAACTGGTAATGAAGAATATAGACTTGAAACTATGAGACTTGTTATCTTTGGGGAGAAAAATGTATATAAAATTGTTTTGTACAAATATAGTATCTGTGTTTTCTGATATATATTATGATTTGACCTTACTTTCTTATATATTAAGATATATGTGTATGTTGGTTAACTTAAAACTGTATCCTCACTCATTATCTAAAAGAATTAATTTTAGATACTATAACTTGAAAATGGTTCAGTTCTCCTGATATTCCAAAATGTTTTATTTGAAAACTCTCCTAAAATACAAAGTTTTCCCTTTAATGAAAATTGTTTTAAGTAATCAGTGTGTTCCAAAGACCCTGATTTTATTTTCTTTTGGTGTATTTGCACACACAGGACAGACTCCTTTAGGAGATTTGTTGATTACTGCTTGCAGAAAATACCTCAGGAAAGGCCAACATCAGCAGAATTATTACGGGTAATTTTTCAAATTTATATTTGAGGAGGGGGATTTAAAGTCTTGTTGTAGTGGAATATAGTAAATCATCCCTGTGGCAGCTCATCATGACAAACTGGTTTAGAACATGCCGCCTTGTCATTTATCCAGAGACAGTAGCTAGGCATAGAAATAGTAAGATTATTGCAATGTATGTGCTATATATTCCCTGTGGATAGCTTTTTCCCTATTTTTTCCTCTTTCTTCTCCCTCCCATCTCCTTTTTTGCCTTATAACAAACAATATTTCTCCTTCTTCCCCTGGTCATCATTGTGATGTTCCTGGGCCTAACATCTGCATGAACATTAATAACGGTGCTCTCAGGACAAAGTCTGCCAATGGTTCAAATGCCAACTCTGGGATTTTTCAGTTAGGTTGTTGCCAAATCTTCAGGCAACAAAGATATATAACTATATAAAGCACACATTTACATAACATTATATTGTACATGTTAGTGACAAGAGTATCATGTTAACTGCATTTATTTGATGTAAACATCTTATTTCTCAGCATTTCTTTTCATATAACTTTACTATAGACTGTATACATAGGCAGCGTGTTGCATCAACATCAGTGTAATATGTGGGGATCTTTTACAATATGAATCTCTATTTGGCACAGAATAATCCAGATTTCTTTAACCTTTTTTGTATGTATGTTTCCCAACCCTTTTTTGTTTGTTTCATCTCTAGAATGGCTGGATTTTATTATAGAACAATTTTTTTTCTTTTTTGTTTTTAAGAAAAACTCAGAAGGGTTTTATTGCCTAAATTTGTAAAGCTTAAAAATGTCAGCTGCCTTTATAATTGAAAAGCACCTTGGCTACAACACAAATTCTTGGTTTGCGTTTTCTTTTCTTTAGAACTCTGTAAACATTGTTCTGTTATTTCCTGGCTTTCAGTATTCCTGAAGAGGTTGGTCTGAGGCCGACTAGTTTTTCCACCTGAAAGTAAGTTTTTTCTTCTTGTGAGTAGCAGGCCACAGAAACATGGTAACAGCAGCAGCAGGGCAAAGGACTTGACCTTGTTCTCCTTTGTCGTTGAGCCATCACACATTCTAGACATGAACTACTTTGTATACCTCAGCAACAGCTCCACATTTCTTTAGGGGAAAATAGCAACCAAAACAAAGCTTCAAACACAAGATAATGTCTTTATTACTTTGAAGTAGGCAGAGATTTTAAAAGCAAACAACAAACAGGATGTAAAAAGTATTACCATAAAGGGGGAAAAAATGAATAAATTTGGGCTGTATTAAAATTAAGGGGGAAAAAAATGAAGATACTACAAGGATTCGAAAATAAAATTGTAAGGCTACAGACAACAAAAGGATATAAAAAGCAAGTGGCCAGAAGGTAAAGAAAGAAATGGAAGAGAATAAAACATAAGAGGTTAAACGTAAGAGCTTAAAAATCATACCCCTAAATCCGTAAAAATCAAAAGCAATCCTATTATAAGCAATAAATCAATGTAGTAAACCAACCCATTTAGGGTATTTCTAATGGTGAATAGGCTTGAGGAAATAAAACAAAATTAAATGCAAAAAATAAAAGTTCCAAAGAGGAATATAGAGAAAATGATACATGTGGAAGATAAAGGAGATTTAATATACATCAGCCTATTATTCCTGAAAGAGAAAACAAAATACAGGGAACAGTAGTTATTTGAAGATATACCTGAAGAAAACTTTTCTGGAAATAAATATTTAGATCTTTCTTTGGTTTGATTTGATTTGATTTGCTGGGTCAAATCAAACAGGCCCACTATTTATTCGTCAAATACTTATTGATTGCTGTGTATTCAGCACTATTCTAAGCACTAAGAATATAGTAGTACACCAAAAAAAGACAGTCCCTGCCCTTGTGGAACTTATAATGAGGGAGTAAGAAAATAAACAAATATATGATGCAATGCCAGGTGGTGGTAAATTCTTTGCAGAAAAATAAATCGGGGGCAAGAACAAAGAGTGACAGGAGCTGTGGTTTTAGATAAGGAGTCAAGGAAGGCCTTTCTAAGGAGGTGACATCGAAGCAGAGCCCTGAAGAGAGGAGACCATGAAACTGATCTTAAGTGATCAATAAATCACATCCTGGTGAAGCTCCTGAACTCAAGGATAAACAAAAATTCATACAGTCAGCCTCAAAAAGTTTCTTTTGGGGTGGAAAAACCAGTTGGCTTCAGACCGACCTCTTCAGGAACACTTAAAGCCAGAAAACAATAGAATAATGTTTACAGAGTTCTAAGGCAAATAAAATATATACCAAGAATTTGTGACCCAGCCAAAGTGCTTTTGAATTATAAAGGCAGCTTTATAATTTCAAGTCTCATAAATTTAGGCAGTGCAACCCTTCTGAGCTTTTTTTAAAAAAAAAAAAAAAATTGCTCAAAAACAAAATCTGGCCAATGCAGAGATGAAGCAAAAAGAAAGAAGAAGTAGAGAGAAAGAGGGAGAAGAGGTAGAAAGAAAGGAAGGCAGGCAGGAAAGACGAATGAATTAGGGACTGCAGAAACTGGTAAATATTGAATTTAAAGTGGCCCCTCCAAAATTTGTTTATTTTGCCAGCTAAAGAGACTGTACATTCTTCATTTTGAATAGATAATACAAATTTCAAAAAGCAAAAGTATAGTAGAGGGTAGAACATGGAAAGTAAATCTCCTTCCCATTCCAGGTCTCTCTCTAGTGTTAGCAAACACTGCACCTATTTTGTGCTTGTCCTTCCAGAGAAATTTTATGCATATGAAAGTAAATATTCTTTTTATTTTTGCACAAACAGTAGCAAACCATTAAAACAGTTCTACCTTTTTTTTTTTGACTTTACAGTGTGTTTAGGATAGTTTTATATTACTACATGCAGAGCTACCTCATTCTTTTTAATGACTCCGTAATATTCTCAGATGGACCACAATTTGTTTAAGCAGCCCATTTAGGATATTTCCAATCTTTTGCTATTACAAACTGTGCCGCAGTGAATATCCTTATTCATCTGTCATCTTGCACCTGTATAAGGATATCTAAAGAATAAATTCCTAGAAGTGGAATTGCTCATCAAGGTGGATTTTATTTTTTTTAATGTTTTATTTTAAATTATTATGGGTACATAATAGTTGTATATCTTTGTAGAGTACATGTGATGTTTTGATATAGGCATACAGTGTGAATTAATTAAATCAGGGTAATTGGGGTATCCATCACCTCAACATTTCTTTGTGTCAGGAACATTCCAATTCCACTCTTCCAGTTATTTTAAAGTGTACCCTAACTTATTGTTGATTATAGTCACTTTTTCATGCTATCAAATACTGTTCATTCTCTCTAACTATATTTTTGCACCCATTAACCATCCCCACTTTATCTGCCTGCCCACCCTGCTACTCTTCCAAGCCTCTGGTAACCAACATTCTATTCTCTGTCTCCATGAAATCAATTGTTTTTAATATTTAGCTCTCACATGTAAGTGAGAACATACAAGATTTGTCTTCCTGCACTTGGCTTATTTCACTTAACATAATGTTCTCCAGTTCCATCCGTGTTGTTTCACATGGCAGGATTTTATTTTTTTTTGTGGCTATATAATATTCCATTGTGTATAAATGTACCACAATTTCTTTATCTGTTCATTCGCTGATAAGACACTTAGGTTGATTCCGTATCTTAACTATTGGCAATAGTGCTGCAGTAAACATGGGAGTTCAGATACCTTTTTGATATACTGAATTCCCCTCCCTTGGACATATACCCAGCAGTGGGATTGCTGGTTGTTCTGGTAGTTCTGTTTTTAGTTTTTTGAGGAACCTCCATACTGTTCTCCGTAATGGTTGCACTAATTTCCATTTCCATCAAGGTGGATTTTAAATTTAAATAGATACTGCTGATTGTCCTCCAGAGAAGTTGCACCAATTTATAGTACCACTAACAAAGTGTGAGTACTGAAACTTTTTGGGCTTTGTTAGTCAGATCAGTGCAAAAGTTTTCTTATTGTAGTTTTAATTTATATTTCTCATTATGAGCTATGTTAAGCATGTTTTATACGTTGAAAAGCCATTTCTATATCCTTTTCTGTGACTGCTCTGTGATCTTTGCCCATCTGTCTATTAGGTTGTTTATTTTTTTCTTATTAATTTATAGTAAATCTTGGAAGTTTTTTTTCCTGTTTCTATTCTGACATTCTTTATGCTGAGATTTTGAGGGAAGAAGGTGAGGAGGGTTATGCAGAAATTTGTTAAAAAGAATAAAGTTGGAATCTAACCTTTCTTTTTCAATTAGCTATCTAGTTATTAACAAATATGTTTCAATTATCCATCTTTTTCACACATTTTCTTCCTGACATTAAAATGTCACTTTCACATTTAATCCATTTAAATATAGAACTAAGGTAAAAATCATTGAAATGGTTAAAGAACAGATGTAAATGTTATAAACATTGGCAATGTAAAAATAATAATGTGACTAGAAAAATCTAGGGGCAGGAAAAAATATATGTACTAATTTTCCTGTCTTTCAGAGTACATGGTCCATAATATTTCTCAAACTGAAATACACAGTTTAAAAAACAAAAGTAACTCCAATCTCTTAAAACTTTTCATTATCTTTTTTTTCTTCTTAACTTTAGAGAATCTTTTAGAAACAAATAACTCTTTTGGTGAAGAAATTATTAACTGAAGTTAAGCAATTATTTTAATTTAGTCTCTTCTAATTCTGTTAAATTCAGGTATACCTTAATATAATAGATTATACTTAAAATTAGCCTGTGTAGTAAGATTCCCATGTAAAATTATTTCTAGATATCCATTGCTCTCAGAGAGAGAATGACAGATGATGTCTAAAATGATATTCCGTAATTTAACAACATTTATTTCTGGATGGTGGAATTTGGGGTGATTTTCTTTTGCTTTCTTTAATGCATTTTTCCGTATCTGAATATTTAAAGTAAGAACACTTTTGAGAACAATAAAATTGTTCTTTTAAAAGGGTCTGAGACCCTT